GTATTTTAGTTATATAGTTATCTAACCTGATAAAATTTTTGATTTAACTGGTATAAAACTTAAACTGGAGAAAGTGGATCAGATGAAATTTATAAATGTTACTAAGAAACAAGGTAAAAATATAGATTTTTGTCATTATTTCAAAAATACTATTAAAGCACTTTGCACCCGATTTATTATATATGATAAAAAATACGAACTACTATCTATTGACAAAATTATGAAGATTACGGACTTAGATGAAAAATATAAACAAATCAATAGTTATGCTCAAGAAAAAACTAAAAAGTAACTTGAGTTATATATCAAGGAGATAAGTGTGATTAATGGAATTGATTCTAAATAATATCTAATCGTGAGTATACCTATAAACATACCTATAAAAATGCAAAAAAAACTATAGAAGTTATGTTATATCAGAAAATAGGTAATACATACAAGATATTTCATAGTAATTGGATCAATTTTGAGGATTTTAAAGATAATGATTCTATTGAAAAATTGTGAAAAAAGTTTTTGAAACACACCAGAGCATATACTGAAAATAATGATCTCTTGATAAGTGATGAGGTAAAAGATTCTATATGCTCTGATTTTATGGAACATCTAAATATACTTATCCCAATTATTAAAAAATATGATGTTTTCTTTTATAAGTTAATATATCATATACGATATAAAGAACATGTATTTATCCTAGATAAGATTGATCCACTTGAGACTATGAGAAAAAAAGAGATTATTATCAAGAAACCTATCTTACTCAATATAACGAAAACTGATCAAATGGTACTTGATAATTTCCTAAATGCATAGAACAAGACAATCAGTTCAATATAAATATATCTCTATATCTGCAGTACATATTATATTTTTTGTACATAAATAATATCCAAGTTCAAATAGATAGTTCCTTGTTAATAACTATAGTCATAGTTTCTCGATGCTTGTAGCATATCGTGATATCTCCCATAGACCATCCAAAGATATTCAAGATTTAAAGATACCAATTGATTATAGTTCTTTTTTCCATAAGCAGTAATCCAATAATTTGAATATTTTTTATCAAATCTCCTATATTTACATTTTCGTTCTTTGCCACATAAACTTTATGGATATCATTTATCATAACTTTTATCGCATTCTTATTATACATATTAAAGACTCCGGTTCAAGAGTGATGGTATCTGATTTTTTAAACTTATGACCATCACAAAATCTTATCCCTATCACCATAAAGGAATGTGTAACAATATAATTTGTATATAATAGCAATGATATTTCCTTACAACTACAACAAATATTGCTGGAGATAGTTACTTCGTAACTAAAAATTATTATATTTTCTATATACAAATAATATCCAAGTTCAAATAGATAGTTTTATTATTTGATCCACATATCTTGTAACTGCTTACTTTTTTTACCTATACTCCATATACGTCTTAGTATCACAAACTAGATAATCACAGGTACCAACAAGGTAAGTAACATATATGCCAATAGAGGTGACATCAGCAGAGCTGGTATAGCCAAAGTACTTGTTACAACAGAAAGAGGTAAAGCCTCAAAACTGAGTTTCATCACTTTCACCTCTCCTATCAAAATCTGAGGATATGATTTAATTAGAGAGGACATGTTATTTTCTTGTTGTGCAAGGCGTGAAGTCACATTTTCAGGTATAATCTGTAATATATTGGTTCTATTACTTATCTTGGAACTAGTCTTAATGTCAACTTTTAATAACTCGGGTATAAGATTATTAATATGGACCAGTATACTATTATCGATTTTTTTAGAAATCAGAAATTCGGCACTATGTACCACTTGATTTATACTTTTTCTGCATACTAGATATGGCCTAAGATTGTGACATGGGGTTGAACTCCTACTAGAATTTGATAGAGAGATTTGTTCTTCGTTATGTGTATTTTTTTCATTATCCCTATTAACAATGGATGAGATATAGTCTTGAATCACTGATTCTTCTGATCTATCCTCAGATTTCAGACACTTCAACTTACTAACTTTCAAAATCAATTTGTTCTTTAAATTCACAAATTCAGACTTGAGAGATACAATCTCAGATTCTTTTTTTAATATCTCTTTCTAAGTTGAAACTGTATTATTCTGAACCAATATTAATCTACCTTCTAATATTTTTTTCATAGATTAAAGTATTATAATTTTCTTGGATTTTATATCAATCTCAGATTTAGAATTAACAAGAGAAATGGTTTTGCTAGCATTTTCAAATTACAAGTTTTGATTTTTGGTAATAACCCCTTCTAGTTTTTTACTTCACTTCTTTCTATCCTGATCCTATTGTTTTCTCTCCTAATTAATTTTTTTTTCTTGTTTTTCATACTTATCCTACAATTTAGCATTATATAAAACTATCTCAGAAGAATCTTGGAGGACATTATTAAGGTCTATTACATTAGCCATATTAAATAAATGAAATATTATAAAAAAATAGTAATATATGGGATATATATAATATAGATATACCTATCTAATAGCACTATCAAAGAAATTATGTTTCTAATATAATTCAACAATAATAGATAATTATCAGTTTTTTTTAAAAAATTATTGAATATTAAGTATTTAATTATCTATAATCACCAGTTATTTTTTATTATAAGAGATATAGACGTATTTTAGCATTTTTGATAATTTTTGATAATTTTTTATAATTTTTTATAATTATAAAAAGGATAGAATTCATAACTATAAAGTATTATCATACTGGTACTTTTTATTTATCACCAGAAGCTATTGAGGAAATCATTTAATATTGAGGAATGGTTAAAAATGCATGTAGAAAAATAGTTGATAAATATAATACTTCAACTCATAGAATATATGAAATTTAAAAATGATATACTAAAAGAATACCTTTGTGCAAACAGCAACTAATACATAGTGATGTTTTTTCTGAAATAACGTTCATACCTGAAAATAATACTTTAGATAGATGGTTAAAGAAAAGAAAATTAGAATTCAGATTAGTTCAAATATCTGATTCAGTTAATATTATTAATAAGGCTAGCACAACCAATGATTTGATAAAAAAAGTAAATGAAATGGATGACTTATAAGTTAGGCTTATACAAAATCACAAAGAAAGGAGAGAAGCTAAACATGAGATGAAAAGGATCTTAGATTCTAGTTAATCTATTTTTGTTTTTTCTAAAGTAGATTGTAATCTATTACAAAGTAATGACTCTTCGAGCCTATATACCATTTCAATATCAGACTCATTTTTATACACTGGTCGAAAATTGATAAATTATATATACATCGGGTACCCGATATGTACATGGTGCATCCCTAATATCAAGCATATATCAGGTACCTAATAGGTGTAGAAAATATTTTATTTATATATCGGATACCTGATAAGTGTAAAAAAATATTTTCTACACCTATCAGATACCTGATATACGTCTAATATTAGGTACGCACCATGCACATATCAGGTACCCGATGTGTGTATAATTTATCAATTTTCGACCAGTGATAAGCCCATAGTTTTTTATTAAGCTTGATTAATTCAGTATTGGATTCGAGTACCTCATATAACAATTTTTCCAGTTTTTTATAGCTCATGTATTTTTTTTTTAACATTAAATTATTAGAATCCAATAATACATTATCATTCTCATCACTATCTACCTTCTGAGAAATTTGATCAGGTACCAGAGGCTTATCATCCTGAGATGCAGTTAAACAGTTTACTTCAAGCTTATTTTTGACTAGATGCATATTAACTGAAATAAAATGTTCCTTACCATTGTATATGAGTTTTAACACATGCTTTGATACAAGTAAATCATAATCATATTTATCGAGCAATGTATTAGATAAAATTAACATTGGTTTGCGATACTTAACGACTGTAAAATTAGAATATATGATGCAATCTAGAGCAAAAGTTACAGGAACATTATGAACAATCTCAATAGATTCAATAGGGATAATAGCAATTTCACTGAGATCATGTTTTTCTTTTGTATTAATTACTAACTTGACATGTTTAGCAATATTCTCAATTATAATTGGAAAATTAGTACAAGAATTAAGACTAGTAGCCAAAATTATTAAATGTTTAATTTTATATTCTGCATTTGCAATATCTGTAGCTGGATCCTTTCTCTGAACAAAATCAATTTCCATAGGATCATCTAAAGTCTCCTCCTTCCCATCCGATTCAGGTATTTCTGGAATAAGCTTACGATAAATATTATCTTGAATGAGAAATAACTTTTTTATGTGGGCAAGCCTTATGGAACTAAATTTAGGTTCAAAGCTTTGTAACAAATGTAGGGATATGATTTCATTAAGTTTACTTCAAATGATCTTACGAATAATTTGTTCTAAAATTGTTTGTTTGTTTTGGCTTTCCTTACGAGACTTGAATGAAGAAACTTGACATTTTGTTTCTTTTTTTTTGACCTTGGATTGTTTAAGCTTTGGTGGAGACAATTTATTAGATTTTTTTTTATGTTTTATTTTTTTTTTGATCCAAAAACATGTATATTAAAACTATGATCAAATTCAACTAAGTTATCTTTAGAATCGGATCCTGTTTCAGAATCACTATTAGAAGAATCATTTTTTGAATTTGAACTATTATTTTTATTGATATAATTCACATAGACTTTTTGTCTACTTTTTTTCTTTTTAGAACAAGTACAGGAAGTGTGCCTTATTCTATTATAATTGAAACATCTGCATAAAGACTTCTTAATAACTTCAGAAGTTTTGACCAAATTTAATGATAATTTTACTATACCTTTTGTAATTGTATCCATATCATTATTACTTGAAGAGTTATTCTTTTTTTTCTTGCCGAAAGTAATTATTTCGTAGTTAGAGAGGTGATTAGAAATATCATTCATTATATTTATAAGATTCTAAAAAAAGAAAAGATCAGAATTCATATTATTCAAGTATAAATTTGGATCGAAGTGTATTTTATTAGATTCACTCTTTTAATTTTTCAATGAAGCAACTGCTGTTTGAATTTTTCTATCTATTTCTTTAGAGAAAATTAAAGTTAAAACTGTATTTGACGATTGCTCACTAACAGTTAGAACTTGAGAAATTCGATCAGGAATTTGACTTCCATAACTAGATGAAAGTCTATATTCAAGCCATATATTTTTAAGTGAAGAAAAGAAAGTATTAATATCTGCAGGATTATCACTTCTTATCCAAGTATAAAGATTACTTGATAAATGTTCCTTGAGAAGTTCTAAAATATTAGCGTCATTATTATCAACTCCTAATATAAGAGAACGAATTCCGATTTCATAAGTTTCTGAAGTATCGAAGAGTAAAAATTTTTCTTGAGCTAATTTTTGAATAGTGACTTGTTGTGTTCCAACAGTTTCTGTTTGATATTTGTGTCACAACTAGATAATAAAATAAGCTGAAGTATTAATATTATTACTAACATATTAAGCAGGTATATCTATATATTTTTCAGTTATCTTACTTTTCAAAATTTCTGTTCTAAGTATATCATTGAAGCATCCGTTATAATTGATAGTAATGTTAATATTTTATTAATACCTTGATACCATTCATTTGGTGAAATTTGTTTACTATAATTTTTAAAATCTATAATCAATAAGATTTAAATATTGATCAATGATTAAATTTTAAAGGTCGATTGAAGAAATTAAGACAAAGAATTAAATATATTTATCAATGGTTTATAAAATAGTAACAGAAATTTATGGATCAGAATTT